GAACTTCTCTTGAAGACAACTTTTTAAAAAATGATGATTATATTTGCCAATTAGCTAATAAACTGTTCTCTGTAACACCACATGCAGCCGGATGCGAAAGGATTTAGTCAACATTAGGGTGGTATTATGGCAAATGTCATACATGGCTTTCTTTGAGTAAAATTAAAAATATGCAGAAGCTTTCTGCTTTTTAATTTGCAAATTCAAAAAAAGAACTACCATATTTTTCCATTAATAATGGTGCAGAAGATTTATATGAAGCATTATCTAATATAAATCTTAGCGATGATGATGACTATGACAAAGAACAACCCACCAGTGAAGTACAAGATGTGGAGTTTCCGGAAGAAGAAGCACTTAACATTGAGGAATTGTTGAATCTTGATGTGGCTGATTTTACAAATGACTTAGGTGAAATAGTTTTTAATACCAACTTCGAATCTTCTGAAGAGGAACATAGTAATATTCAAATTAATGATACCAAGAGCAATGTTGATGAGGAAAATTGGGATCGTGAAAAAGAAGTTGATACAATGTTAGATTAATTGATATATAATATGTATAAATCAATCAACATAGTTCAATAAATACAAATTTTTCTGATTCTTTGATTCAAAATTAATAAAAAAAAAAAAAAAAGATTCAGAAAATTACTATAATCTATGAAATTTCTAAAATGAAAGTTGTTTAAAGCGTCTTACGCATCTTTAGCTAACCAACTATAAAATTTTGAGGGTCGTCTGAACAAATATATAAAAAAAGTATCATATCACAGTTCTTGAAAGACCAAATAAGGATTGGTCTTTAACCAATCCCACAATTATTTAATTTCTGGTCTTGAGACTGGTCTGTACTAGTTTTTGATTTTAACATAATAGATTCAATAAAATTAAATAATATAAATATTGTATATAAATACTATGTATATCTCTAGTTGAATACAGAACACAATACTTTTTGCTAAAAAATTTTAGAAGGCTTATCAATTCGAAGAATTGTAAACACATGCTGACCGAATTCTATAAATCGGGTTCTCAATTGCTTATAATAACTGTAATTAGATTTATTTAATATCAAAAAAACACATTTTACTTTTTGATAGTAAATTAAATAATTATATTGCTGTCTGATGTATCAGGCATTTACAGTATAAAGACTTCAGATGTATAAATTTTTCGTTCAACTTCACAAAGTCTTCAAGATTTTACACTCTTTAAAGCATAAAAGATATTATTTCAGGACATAATCTAGTATTCAGTTCTCAAATTGCCTGGGTACGGGATCTCGCATCATATTTATTTATATCGGATTTATATCAGAAATATCGGAAATATAGGATCTTATCAGATTTATATCGGATTTTCGTCTCAAATTTGGAATTTGGATTTTTTATTTCAGATCACCATATTAAATACGAAATGTTATAGAATTAAAAAACAATATCGCCCAAAACACTAACTTGAGTTAGTTGTTGCATCATTGTGATATATTGTATGATTTCGTTTGATGCATTGTTGTGATTTATCGTATGATTCGTATTTGACTTTTTGACGTAGTGACATAGTATTTATGATTAGTAAGCATTAGTATTTAGAGAATAGGTGTTTTTTCCCAGGAAGAGTATCTTCTGTTTTTCTGCTAATCCAACTTTGTCTGGTTTCTTCATGCTATACCTGTTTTTTACCTGTTTTTACCTGATTTTTTACCTTTGTGCTTGTTTCACCTTTTTGCCTTTACCTGTTTACTTTAAAATAAACATTGTCATTGATATGTGAGTGAAGCGTATTAGTGTTGTTCTTTTAAATAAACGTTGTCTTTGCGGAATCAAGTATATTTTATTATTTTCCTTATGTCAACATTGAATAAAGAGTTGAACCCGGTAGGGTCGAGTGATGTCTCAGCCCAGCTCAATACGACGCAAGCAAGCCTAGAGTCAAATTTGTAGCATCTTTCGCTAGAGGCATTGAGAGATGTCTGTAGAGGGATGGGTGTTTCAGACTTGGGCCCGAAGAAGGAAGTCGTAGCTAGGCTAGCGACGGAAAGTAGGGCTCGGTTTGGTTCGGAAGTATCGGTGAGTGACCCGAACCTTCGGAAAAGAATAAGAGTGGGCAGCCACAGCCTACTTTAAATCAAGCTGAAGATTTTCTAGAGGAGTTTGATGCCTTTCAAGGAGCTAGAGATGAACCACAACTGTTGAGACCTGCGGTAGATAATTCTCATGATGCTTATGTAAGGCAGCCGTTGTTGGGGCCGGAGTTGATGCAAAATGGTCCTTGGATTAAAAGAGCTTCAAGTTGGAGACCTGATCTGGATACTTTAGTGGTAAATGATGTGGAATGTAAGAGCTTTTGGGAGAAACAGGAGTTGTCGAAACAGCGCAACCAATAGGAGTACAATGAGTTGTGCAAGATAGGAACTCTGCTGGACAAGGTATTAGTTTCGGGAATGTGGGCTTTGTTCGTTTGGCAAGACAAGTAGTTCTGGAAAGAGCTTATGTTGTAAGGGTGGCTGATGAGGATGGTTGGGGTGTTGCCTTGAAGATGTTTCTGTGGATGCTTCAGATCCGATGGGAGGGAAACATGAGAAAGCAAGATTAGCGGCACAGCATTTTACGAAGCCCAAAAAGCAGAGATCTTCGTATCAGCCTTGAGTAGAGCAAGCTCAGGTGCAGGCCCCTTTTTTTTCCTGTAAATAGTGTTCTCTTGGCACAGTTTGTACCGGTTCAGCCTTATTTACAACCAACGGGGTTCCAGCATCAGGTTTTGAACCAGCCAATAATTCCTCAAGCACAGTTTGGAGGCCTCATGTCTTTTTCTGCTCAGTCAACCCAAACTGGCCCCATATTTTGCAGGGTGGAGGACATCACTCACAGCAATTTAGTCTGAGTGTTGGTGTGGCTCCTGCAGTGCAGCAACAATCATATTCCTCTTTGCCTTTTTGGCCCAAGAGAGATGATAAATATAAAGGATTCAAGAGTAAGGAGGTGGTTTGTTACTTATGTGAAGGAAAGGATTACTTTGCAAATGAGTGTAGTTCTAGGAAGTACCTTGGATTGCCCTTTCGAGGGGACAGAACTCAGGCAGGAAGCAGTTGACTACGCTCAGGCTTTGCTAGAGAAAATGAAGAGGAGTTTGGAGAAACGGGTAACAGAAAGTATTCATAGTTATGTGGCGGTAAATTATTGGAAAAATGTGATTTATCCATCCCAATTGGTTTTGAGATGGTTAAGGAAAGGGTCCCTTTGTTCCCAAGGAGCTTGGTACATTTGGCGGCTTTGCCGGATCCAAGGCCCTATTATTTTTCAGAGAAAGAGGAAATTTGGTTGGGAAAGAAGTTAGAAAGGTTGGAAGCTTCGGGAGCAATAACAAGAATTGGCAAGAAAAGTTCTCATTCAGCAAATCTTCTGGAGATGAGCCTGGTGTTCTTGGTCCCGAAACAGGGACCTTGAAGGTTTCATCTGGTAATCGACTTACAAAGGCTAAATCTGGCCTTGCCTCAGAATTTTTTTCATTTCGAGGGGCTAGGTGGCCTTTTACGTACGATTGGAAAAGGGTGGTGGGCAATATTGTTCAATTTGAAGGATAGTTACTATCATATACTTATGAATCCCGAGGCGCAACGGCTTTTGGGTTTTGTCGTGGCAGGAATGTGGTTCCAATACAACGTGTTACCCTTCGGGCTGAGTCAGGCACCTTGGGTATTTTTAAAGATAATGAGAGCTCTAATCAGTAAGTGGCGTACCCAAGGAGTATATTAAAGCAACCACCTGGACAACGTATGGGTTGCACACCCATTGAAGAGAGTGTTACTAGAGATAAGGGAAAAGGTAATAGAGGTTAATCTTTTAGAGTGCGGCTGGTTCTGAGCCAAAGAAAAAGGGTGTTGGGACCTGACCCAATCTATAAAATTTTGCAGAATGATAGTAGATACTTTGGACAGCATGGTGGTGGCCCCGGAGGAGAAAGTAAACTCAACAATTTGTATGTTGGAGGCTCTTCTGAAGGTATCTCCATTTCGGCAAGAAATTTGGCATCGGTTGCAGGAAAGGTAGTGAGTTTGGGAAGAGCCTTCCTCTCGAGCCAAGTAAAGTGTATGAAGTTTTACAGGTTGATAGGTTCAAGGAATTGACTGCTTTGGCAATGAGACACCGATGTTCAGTTAATGCCACCGGCAATCGAGCACATTCGATAGTTGTCGAAAAACCTGAGGAAGTGGAACAGCCGGCCAGCCTGGAAACCTTGTCTTGTGAGGTTGGTGTACATTGATGCTTCAACGAAGGGTTGGTGTGGTGTTTTTCAAGGGCACAGGGTGGCAGAAAGTTGGTCCTGGCCCCACAGCTCAAACGTAATAGCGCAGTTAGAGTCTTTGGCTGTGCTTCGGGTTCTTCAGTCTTTCAGAAACCTATTGAAAGGGACTTGGATAACTCTGTTTATCGACAACAGAGTGGCTATAAGGACAGTAGTGAGTGGGGGCCCAACGAATTGGAAAAAGGACATTACCAGGGAGATTTGAGAGGTTTGCATTGAGGCTGATATTGGGATTTTCAGCACGAAGTGGGTCCCAAGTGCTTTAAACCCAGTGGATACGTTGACAAGAGTGTTAGACCAAGGAGATTGGATGTTGAGTTCGGAGGTTATAGCTCAGTTGGAGCAGGTTTGGGGGCGCTTCGAGGTGGATAGGTTTGCGAGCCACCTGAATGCGAAGACCAGAAGATTTAACAGCCTCTATTTCTGCTTAGGGACAGAGGCAGTAGATTGCTTCACCCAGGACTAGACCGGGGTAAGAAATTATGTTTGCCCTCCATTTTGTCTGATTCACAGGGCTCTCTGTCATGCAAGGGAATGCGGAGCATGGATGGTAATCATAGTTCTGGTATGGGTCTCGGCCCCATGGTGGCCCTTTGTAGTAAATTCGCTAAAGGAGGAAATCGAGCTTCTGCCAGCAAACCAAATTATTTGGCTGGGTCCTTTGGAAAACCTGGAGCCGTGCAAGAACAGCAAATGGTCACTAAGGGCGATACGGTTGGATTGGTCGAAAAGCTCTTGAATAGGGCGGAGTATTTGATAGATAATTCTATTAGCAAGGAATATAAAAGGCGCTTGTTGAAAGCATGGAAAGTATTTGATAGTTTTGCACATTGGGTTGGTTTGGCCCCATACCTAGCTTCAAGGGAACTTTTGGTGGCTTTCCTTGCTTGGATGGAGCTTTTGGATAGGTCAACAGAGATACAAGCTTGCTTGGCCGTGGTAGCCAGAGAGCACAAAGTGAAGGGTTTCAAGGACCCTACAAAGGGTAGTTCAGTCTGTTTGGTTGTGGAAGGAATTAAAAGATCAGTTGCCCAAGAAAAGGTCAAAGTGAGATGGCCCAGAAACCCTCTTCTGGTTACAGTGGTTGAGAGGTATATTGATTGCCCCTGCCTGGTATTAGTAAGGTCTTGTGGGCACGTAATTTGGCTTTGGTGTCCCTAGGGTTGAGAGTCATGTGTAGACTAGGTGAGTTATGTAATCTGAGAAGGTCTGACATTGTTGAAAGGGATGGAAAGTTGTGGGTTAGGGTGGCAAAGTCGAAGACGGACCAGTTGGGAAGGGGAAAGTTTATCCCGGTAGAAAGATCTGCAAGTAGGGTTTGTCTGGTGAAATTGTTGAGTTATTACTTGAGGTTGAGGCCAGCTACATCATCGGAAAGACCTCTATTCTTGGCTAAGAACGGGGAGAAGTTATCTGTGGTGGCAATTTCATCGATAGTTAAATGGTTTGCGGATAATGCTGGGCTACAAGAAAGGTTCACAATGCACAGTTTGAGAATTGGTGGTGCGACTACAGCTTTGAAGGGAGGTATGACAATGGAACAAATCCAGTCAATTGGCGGCTGGTCTTCGGGTGCAGTCCAGGTTTATTTGAGAGCAATTAGTATCGCTGAGTTGGGAGCCTCTAGACTAATGGGCTTTGTGTAGACCCTGAGAATGTTAGCAGTTATCTAAAACCTTGCCTTTTCATATCGATACTCTGCAAGACCCAGAGTTGTTTTCCATTTTTTTTCTTTTGTTTTTTGTTTGTTTTCATATTGTTTTCATCTTGTGACACTCCTCCTCGATGAGGGACAAAATTAGCTGCCCGATACAAAAGTATCAGAGCAGCTTTTTGTCTCGAATCGATCACAGGTGTATAATTGTTGATTATTGATGCATTATTGAGATTTAGCATGTGACTTGAGTCAGTTGTTGCATCATTGTGATCTATTGTATGATTTCGTTTGATGCATTGTTGTGATTTATCGTATGTTTTGTATTTGACTTTTTGACGTAGTGACATAGTATTTACGATTAGTAAGCATTAGTATTTAGAGAATAGGGGTTTTTTCCAGGAAGAGTATCTTCTGTTTTTTCTGCTAACCCGACTTGTCTGGTTTCTTCGCCCACCCGGCCCAGCCCTCGTATATAATTGTACAGCAATTTGGGGTTGATCGAAGGCCCTTTGGGATAAGTACTTCGTTTTGTTAGCCATGTTTTGGTTTGTCTTATGGCCTGTCAGTCTACAGTCATAGGGTAAGTATTAGTGACCTATGGGTCAATGATCTCATTGAAACCTGTGTTAATGGTATGACCTGTTGAGACGGCAGTCACGGGTATTTTTGTAGTTTTTGTTTTTATATTGAAGCAGCTTGTCTAAATGACAGGCGTGAAGTAATTTTTTGCAAAAAGTAGCCTGTCGAGATGACAGTCATGATAAATGTGCGTACAGGTTTTCTGAGCATGCATTGTGAATATTAGGGTAGTCGTAGGGGGACTTAGGGGTTTTTTCCAGAAGAAATTGTCTGGTTTTTTTCGCCCGCCCCTTGCAACAAGCAATAGCTTAGAAACTATTAGTTTTAGAACAGTTACTTCCGATGCTTTCAAGGTCTGCATGTTTAGTAGTATAGCATGTATAGTATGTGAGCGGATGGGACAGATAACCCAGAGTTGTTTTCCATTTTTCTTCTTTTGTTTTTCATTTGTTTTCATATTGTTTTCATCTTGTGACACCCCTCCTCGATGAGGGACAAAACAAACAATCATTTGTTAAATTTAGATATTTATGCGACGCTTAAATATAATTTTTGTATTCAACAACGCGAATAAGCTGTAAATATTTATGAAGTTGAGTAGCCTATTTAAATACTTGGATTGACATGCTAAATTAATGCAAATGATAAAATTAAATAGTAAATATTCATAAACTTTGACATCTTATTTAATGCGCTAGCTTATAAATGGTAAATATGATGAAATTAACACCTAAACCCGGATTTATTTATCCGGATAAATACTATGTCATGTGATATAACGTGACATAGTGTTTTTAAATTCGGATTTACAGCTGTTTTCATAAATTCTGGGACAACTGATAAAAATTATTTCGGCCGAATTCGATAAGTTTTTGAATTC